ATGTTTAAACACACGTCATACTAGAAATAAAAAATTTACAACATAAACATTTGCAATTGAACTGACAGTGACAGTGTAATGTAAGCCAAGAAAATAATCCATCATTAGTATAACCTAGAAATGTATAGCTTCTAAAAACGTAAGAAACCAAGATGGTAAAAAACCAATAAGAGTGTATGTTAAATCATGAAATGTAGATTTTAGTTCATCAGCTTGGGTCGTTGTTTCTTAACATTACAGAATCTTACCTATGCAAAGTGCTTGAAATAGCGCAATATTCAGGGACTCAAAGTAAAACTATGATCACTTAGTAAGATAAATTCCATGATCGAATAGTATATAAGAGAATAAAATAAATTACTTGCCCAAACTAGAGACATGGTATACCTAAAGAAGGGTGAATCAATGGATGTACTGCGGTTAACAAACTCAATTGAACCCCCTATATCACACGTTATGTCTGCTATTCCAACAAGTGGAGTCCCCTTTCTCGTTAAGTCTTGCATCTGTTTATAGCTTAACAATGGCGGAAATCTTTTCTCCCAATACATGCAATTGACTAAGATAAGGAAATGTGAGTGATAGTGCTTAATAATAAAAAATCAGTTTATCAAGAAACATTTCACACCAGATGTATCAAAAATAGAATTACTAATACATGATGAGCTAACTTGACAATTATTCAAATTCTTCTTGGTTTAGTAACATATACATTCGGTACATCTTCACCCGTGGAAAAGCAAAAAAGACTTGAAAAAAATGTCAAGAAACATTTTGGCTAATCAATCCAAAAAAGAAACTGAATTGTTAATATATGGTGATTGGGGAGCTAACTCAATACGTGTTAAAAGTCCTCTTTATCTGAATCACATATATCATCAACAATGGAAAAACTTTGGAGACCTGGTTTTTGTTTAATATTCCTTTTTGACAGATGAGAACAAAGAATTTAAATTTCTGGAACTAAACATTAAAATTACTTCAAGTCATTTTAGTAATTGGTGATAAATTAAGGTCAAAACAAAACAAAATTATTAGGTCGCCATAATAATGCATCATGACAACTAATAGCATATAATTTGCTTCAGTATCAGTATCAGGCATGAAGGGACCTACCAATGACAGATGCAAACGGTGCTATTTTTTCATGGAAAACAGGATTGTAGTGTTCAGGATGTGCATAGTAGTCTGCCTGAAATTACCAGATCAGGTTAGTATACTTGATATAAATCTCATCCCCTGCTTGACATAGAATAGATCAATGATATTGAGTCCAACTGAAGAAGATAGACTAGGAAAGAAAAACAGACAAAACAGAAAAAAAAAAGTATTACGTTTAAATAGTTGAGAACTTGAGATGATAGAAAAATGCGTAGCATATGCTGAAAACCATTTTTCAATGAGAATAATTAAATGAATAATATGAAATAGAAAAATTAGTGCAGATGATGAATGAGAAGAAGTAACAATGAGCAAAGTACTTTTTCGTATGTGAAGTTCACGAGTAATCCGCAAGGATACAAAGCGGGATGCTGATAGCAAGAGTTACAATTTATTAGCACATCAACTGTGCACTTGTGAAATGATAACAGAAATTTAGTTTCTTGTATCAAGGCATGAGACCAAGGGAGTAGTTATTAGGCCCTGCATAAACACTAAGACTTCATTTCCTTCTTGTTTTACAGCATTATGATGATTTTTTAAAATTAGTTTTCCATTTCAATAACATGATGATTTTGAATTTCTCCCATCCTTTCACAATGGATGTGTACTCTAAAATGGGAATTTGTTATTCTCTGATCATTTAAGGAGATTATCACAGATTTAGTATTCAGCAGGAATTAGTTCTTCATATCCAAAATAGCATGCCACAACATGCCAAAATTCCATGCCATACGAACCACATGAATGAGAGCATGCTGTAAGTCTTAATCTTGCAACAGGTTTCAGACACAAAATAACATACCAAATTTTTGGCAATTTAGCAAAGAGGCATTTTTAGTAGATAAATAGAAATGAGGAGAATCCCAAAACTCAAGACCAAGATCAACTAACTCACTTTGTCAAACACTTTCATGGGATCTTTGGGTTCAACCATGTCTTGGGCAGTAACAACACAACCATAAACTTGGAAAACTCTTTTCGAAGCATGCCTTGGTTGATCTGGGTCCTGTTAAACAAAGTACAGAGGGAAAAAATAAAAGACATTTGCTAGGCATCTCAAAAGCAACAATAACACAGTAGGTAACATTTTGAGATTCTATTTTTTTTAATCAAATATAAACTTGAATTCCTAATAATTTCATTTATTTATAACTATAATAGATGTTTCGTGTACACTTCTATTATTTTTATATGATTATCACTTTGATGAACTTGTGAGAAAGTGTCGTCTTCTCTATTTTTTCAAACTGTCCTAACTTTGCTGTAATTTGGCTTGGAATTTCATAATCATCACTCCAAAATAACGATGATATTAGAAACATGAACAAAAGTTTTTCTCCAGGTATCACCCTTTACCCATCCTGGTTATGAGCTGCTTCATGTGCTACCTCGTCAGACTTTTGTCTCAATTTACTGAGGCAAGGAAAGAACAAGAAAGATTATTTACTAAGAATATATAAATCATGTCGATGCTATTTCCAAGGTCCGACATTTTGATGAACCTTCATAAAATCTAATACCATTTGAAAACTCAAAAAATTATAGGGATTGGATGAAAAAGTAGAAAAATATTATGTATTTAAATGATAAGAGTCTAAAATCGTTTCTATTTTGTGATATGAAACACTGACCTATTAGTGGCCTCTTTATACTGATAAATGAAAATCTAGGTCAACCACAAGTGTACTAAAGCTAATACAAGCGAAACCAAATGGTGCACTTAACATAATAAGACTCCTAATTCAATAACGAATCTAATATTCTAATTAAAAATTACCACTTTATGTAGGTCGGATAGTCTAGATGGATCTACAAACGTATGAGGAAGAAGCTTAAATATCTCCTGCGCACCAGAACAAACTACAAGAAAGTAAGAATTCAAAGTCAGTGTAAGCATCATTCTCAACATTAATTAGGCAAAGTAAATGGGATATCAGATATAATTTTATATACATATACATATATATATGAGTGCAATATCATAGGTATTTTTGGTATTGAAACTGGAGTTTCAAATCATCCTGGTAACCAACGCCAACCTTCAATGTCAATCTTTACTATGATGGTAACTCAAGTGAAACACCAATTTTAATTGAAAAATGGCACCAAAAAATACCTAAGGTACTACACCAAAGTTTTATCCTATATAAAAATAGAGTATCATTTCCTAACACCATACCATTTCCTGAACCAGTAAATACAAAAACCAGGGGACAAATCCCCAGTGGCAATCCCTGAGTTGCAATTTCTTCACCAACAGAAATCACAGCAGCCTTAGCAGCAGCCAGGGAAGGGTACATGTAAGATGATCCCAACGACAAGAAAGGTGTTGAATATCCAAGACTTAAAAACCCTGGGACATCAGCAAATAAGATGTAAAGTTTAGATCAAGCCATTCAACATGAACATATGATAAAACCTGTGCTATCAGAAACTTACGCTGGCCTAATCCACGCATGAAGTCAATCATTCCAGCTCTCCCAGCAAACTTTCCAAATGCAAGTAACCTTTTCCCATTGTCCCCAACAATTAATTCATAGTCATATAAAGATGCCCTCTCTGCTAGGATCTACAACAAGAAGGTTGGGGAAAATGACAAAAACAAGTTAGAATTAGCAATGGCAAGAAACCACCGCAAAACTGAAGTCATTTTTCAAACACGAAAATTTTATATATAACACCTTATCCAGCAAAGGCATGTTCTCTTTCTGTGCTTTATGAGTATGGGAGAAGAAGGCATAAGCTCTATCTGGTAATATCATCTCTAGCTGCAAGAAAGGCATATACAATTGGAATGATCATCCTCATCATCAGAAAGCTCAGATCAGCTAAAAACACGTGCAACTACACACACTAGCAGGAACATGATTAATTCAAAACCAACCTTTGGTTGCTTAATGCCAAGGATTAGGCCACATTGTGACAAATCTTGTGATATTTCAGCGCCAACTTCTTGATAGAGAGCATCATGTTGAATTCTCTTAGTGGAAGGCTGCACAATGATTCTAGAAACACCTGTCTCACCATGGAGTAATCGGGCACAGTGTGATGGAGTCAAAGGTGCCCTTCTTTCCCATTTATTCACAGATTCTGCCAGAATCCCAACAACCCCGTTCCCAAGCATGATCCTTTTACCTGTTTCAACACACCCAATTACCCCAACTCTTCATGCATGCACACCATAAACTGAAAAACAACACAATCACACACCACCCAATTCCCTTCTCATAATTACCCTCAATATCAGCAATTGAATTGAACACGTTTTTGTGATTGATTGTGAATTATGATTGAAACTTAATGGGGATAAAAAGAAATTAAGTGAGCAACAAACAACAATAAGAGAAGTGATTTCTTACAAGATATGAGGATTAACAGAAAAAACTAAACTCGCATGAGCAAGTTGTGCAGTTTCTTGCTTTTGGTATGAATAAATAGATGTGAATGTGTCAGCAAAACAACAACAATCGTGTAACATAATAAAAACTGTGGAAATGTGCGTGGTGACGTGTACTTGGAGTGCAGAGTTTGCCATTGACAAGTAACGACATTCGAAGCATGGTAATTTCGATACTTTTAACTACGTTTCCATTTTGTACTTCTTTTATTCCCAATAAGCATGTAGTATCTTATTTAAAATTATAAATAAATAAAATATAAGCCGAAAATAACTTGTTAGTTAGAGAATTAAAGGTACAAAAATTTATTAAAAATGTTATTAATGTATTTTCAATATATCTTATTCTTAATGTACTCGTTAATAAATTATTATAACAGCATCAGTAGGCCATTGATACTTCGCTAATATTCATCTTTTGTTTAAGGACGCAGCATGAATGGGATGTTTGTATTAAAAATATAAAATCTAATGAAAAACTTACTATTTTCAAATGTTTAAATTTTTATTTTATAAGAAAAATGACATGTAATTGCTGGTGCATAACATAATGAAGTTCATATTAACCTCGTGAAGGAGAAAAGGAAATAATAATTGTTGGGGTTGGGTGATCAAAACACTTACGTAAGTTATGATAATAATACCATCGGATAAGCATAATGTCCTATCTGTCATCATTTTCGTCCACTTTACGTGTCGTGATGTGACTTTATCTTCAAGACGATGTTCTGGATAGAGACGTGACGTGCCTTTCTTAAAACCCTGACTATACCAATTCCAGAATATACAAATTTTATTCACTTTTTTTCTTATTCAAACACATGTTTTTAATATTTTAAAACAAATAACTATTTCAAATGTATTTTTCTTTTGCATGCAATATATTTTTTAATTTGATTTTACCTTTATATTTTCTTTTTGTAAATATAATACCTTTGGATGCAATTATAATACGAATTATTAATTAAATATCTATATTAGTTTATGAAGAGTGAAAATTCGTTAAATAAAACACAACTTCATTTCACACTTTTTCTGTTATTGGAGTTTTAGCTGTCCCATCTAATAAGGACGACCTTTATGCTTACTTCATTGTCTGCTTTACACTTCGTTTAGAAAGGATATACAAATTATGACACGTGAAAGCTGCAAAACCCACATGACCCTTCACTGAAAAGAAATAATAGGAAAATATGCAAATTGTTTTTTTTTTAATTAAATACCTTTAAAATACTTATTGGCAAAATTGTTGAAATATAGGAAGATCATACAAGTGACTAATGACGCTAGTTTTATAAGGGTTACGTTCTGGCTTCTCCAATTTATCAGTGCTACCAAATTTTTATAAGGGCCAGAGAAGCATCAAGCAGTTACCTTGAGAGTGAACGCAGACTTCACTGCTTTTTATAGGTGTGCCATGTATGGTTACCAAGACACTCTTTACGTTCACTCCTTTAGACAATTCTATAGAGAGTGTAACATATATGGGACCATAGATTTCATATTTGGAAATGCAGCTGTGGTTTTACAAGCATGTAGCATTGTGTCTAGGATGCCATTGCCTGGCCAATTCACTGTAATTACTGCACAATCCAGAGATTCCCCAGATGAAGACACTGGCATCTCAATCCAAAACTGCTCAATTCTAGCTACCACTGATTTGTATTCCAACTCTGCTAGTGTTAAGAGCTACCTCGGTAGGCCATGGAGGGCCTATTCTCGTACCGTTTACCTTGAGTCCTACATTGATGTCTTTATTGACCCAATGGGGTGGACAAAGTGGTCTGATGATGGTCAAGGTTTGGACACTTTGTATTATGGAGAGTATGCAAATTATGGGTCTGGTTCAGGGACAGATAACCGAGTGACATGGCTTGGGTACCATTTAATGGATTATAGTAGTGCCTACAACTTTTCAGTCTCAGAGTTCATCATTGGTGATGCTTGGCTTGGGTCTACTTCATTCCCTTATGATGATGGGATTTAATAAATTAAATTAAAGAGATCAATTATTTACTGCTTTAGCTTGTTCCACTTTGCCTTCACCAATGTAAAACCAAAAAGGTGAATGACTAATTTTAATATGATTAGGTTCGATAAGTGCCGTGAGAAGTTTGAGTTATATTTTTAATATTTCTCCTCTAATTAATTTTAACGTTTTATCCAATTCAAACACGTGATATATTTTTTAACTAAGCTGCAAATGTGGATTCTCTGCCAATGTGAAGGTACAAAAATATACTGCCTAATAAATGTGTTATTGTATTATAAGATGTCGAGTAATATACTGTTGGAGTGTGACGCATCTTCAATTAATTTCAAGGTGTCTCACATATGTGACACGACCTTTGGATACATTAATTAACCCAATTTTTATATCATGTGTCCATATTTGAGTTGGGACGCTTCTTGGACTAAATTTACATATTAAAAACACCGTGTTTTAGCACTATAACACTGAGTCACTTGACATCTCCGAGAAATGTGACACATTTCATTAAGCTTTACGTTTGTGTTTTCTTCATTTTCATGTGGAGACACTTTACATGCTTACGAGTGCACCTATGACGTGTTATTATTTTTCTTTTGCCATACATGCGACACGTGGTTAAAATCACCCCCATCTTAATCCAAAGGACTAGGCTCGGCCAAGCCCATCACGCTAAAAAAGGCAACATAATCCTACTCGTAGTTTTTAGGAGGAAGAGTGGACCAAAACAACGAACAAATAAAAAAAGTGTTACTTTTCAGATATAGCTTCTTTGCAACAGAAGTAGCATGGCATATATTGGGTTTGTTTTATTTGCACCAATGCTACTTTTGTGCACAGCCATCCTTAGAAGGAAAAGGTGGAGAAGGAGATTGAAAGACGGTCAAAAGGGTATATGGAAAGATGGGGGAAACAAGGTTGATATTACAAGAGAAGAACCTGTCACACGTTTTTTGGAACCATAGGCACCAAGTCACGAACATGCTAAAATAGAAAAACCTGTAATGTCTCTCGTCCACTCCCCATGCAAACAAACTACTTTAAAAGTTCCAAAGGATGAAAGACAGAAATTGGAAAGGAGTCGAAGGAGTGGTTAACCCCCTTTAGATCTCTTTCTACCTCTATTCAATTTGAACCTAAGGCAGAGACTCCTCTGCCTTAGAGAAACTCTCACAATGGCGTTTCAGGATTTCGACCTCATCTCAGAAAGGCGAAGCAACGAAAAGAGACAAAAGCTGAGGAAGAGGATCCTAATCGGTGTGGTTTCTTCCATTGTCCTTGTGGGTCTGATAGGTGCAGCATCATTCGTTGTTGTTAGAAATGACTCTGATGATAACACCAATGGTGACCAGAAGCATGCACCTGCCACTGCCAGCAGCAAACAACACGTGTCAACTTCAGAGAAGATGGTGAAGTTGGTGTGTAGCTCTGCAAATTACAAAGATAAATGTGAAGGACCCCTTAACAAGGCCATGCAGGATGACCCAAAACTCTCACACCCCAAAGACCTTCTCAAGGTCTATGTGAAATATGCTCAAGATGAGGTTGACAAGGCTTTTGATGAAACCGTCTCTATGAAGTTCCAATCTGAGGAAGAGAAAGCAGCATATGAAGATTGCAAGAAGCTGTTTAAGGATGCCAAGGATGACTTAGAAACATCTCTCAATGAACTTACAAAAATTGAGTTGAAATCAATGTCTCAAAGAACTCCTGATTTGAATAGCTGGCTCAGTGCTGCTATGACTTTCCAACAAAACTGCGTTGATGGTTTTCCTGAAGGAAAATTGAAAACTGATCTTCAAAATCTCTTTACAGATTCTAAGGAATTTCTCAGCAACTCCCTTGCCATTTTGTCTCAGGTAGCCTCCGTCCTCTCCACATTCCAGGCAATTGCGCGTGGCCGTTTGTTGCTATCTGAGAACTCCAATTCCCCACTTGCTTCTCTCGACAAAAAAGATGGCTTTCCTTCTTGGATTAGCCATGAGGACAGAAGATTTTTGAAGGCTTTGGATAACAAACCTACACCTAATGTTACTGTGGCAAAGGATGGAAGTGGAAACTTCAAAACCATCTCTGAAGCTTTGAATGCCATCCCTCAAACTTACGATGGACGGTATGCTCCTCTCATCTCACTCACTACCTTATCACATCGTTATATGTGTTTCATGTTATGTCAAGGTATACAATGTGTGTTGTCACAACGCAGGTATGTGATTTATGTTAAAGAAGGAGTGTACGATGAGACAGTGCTAGTAACAAAGCAAATGCAAAATGTAACCATGTATGGTGATGGATCCCAAAAGAGCATCATCACTGGCAGCAAAAACTTTAGGGACGGAGTCACGACTTACCAAACTGCAAGTTTTGGTATGTCAAAACTTAAACCATCAAATTAGTTGTTGAAATAATAATTAATTAACATTTTAGTCCTTGAAATCGGTGATTCACTATTGCCTGTTGGTCACTTCAATCCTTGATATTAAGGGTCTGTTTATTTAATTCACATCTGTTTCCTGGCTTTGACATGCATCCCTCAAATCTGAGGACTAAAATAATTGATTATGTAATGTTTCAGACCAGATTATTAAATGGTAGCGCCAATTTTCAAAGACTATAATTTTTTCTATAATATCAGGACTAAGCTTATAATTTCATGAAATAATTTGTGGTATTATAGATGACTAATATATTGTTTTGATTCCTATTGCAACGAACGGTGCAGCCGTAGATGGAGACGGATTCTTTGGCCTTGCGATGGGATTCAGAAACACCGCAGGGCCTGATGGGCATCAAGCAGTGGCTGCAAGAGTGCAAGGAGAACGTGCAGTATTTGCCAACTGCCGTTTTGAGGGCTACCAAGACACTCTATATGTCCAAGCACACAGACAGTTCTACCGTAGCTGCATAGTTTCAGGTACAATTGATTTCATCTTTGGTAATGCAGCTGTTGTGTTCCAGAACTGCATCATGATTGTTAGGAAGCCATTGGACAACCAGCAGAACTTGGTGACAGCTCAAGGTAGACTGGACAACAAACAAGAAACAGGAATTGTTCTACAAAAGTGTGTGATCAAACCTGATGACTCACTTGTTCCAGTTAAGGACAAGATCAAGAGCTACCTCGGCAGGCCTTGGAAGGAGTACTCAAAAACAATTGTTATGGAAACTGAAATAGGTGATTTTATTCACCCTGATGGGTGGAAAGAATGGATGGGAGACTTTGCTCTCAAGACATTGTACTATGGTGAGTACAATAACACAGGACCTGGTGCCAGCACTAGTGCAAGGGTCAAGTGGCCTGGTTGCAAAGTCATCGACAGGGAGGAAGCTACCAAATATACTCCAGGGATCTTCTTGCAAGGCACATGGATCCAAGCCACAGGTGTGCCCGCTGTGCAAGGCTTGTACGGTTAAAATAAATGGTTCGCTCCAAATGGCCTTTCCATTCATACCAGTTGAGGTCTTGCTTGAGGGTTGAGCTGATGACAGACACATGCTACATGGTGTTAGGCATAGTGGGAAATATCCTTGTGTTTGTGTTGATGGTGTTGCTCATTTTGATCAATTGTAATCTTCTTCTTCTTTTTTTCTTTCTTTTTTTACCATTTTTTTAAAGAAAAATTTAATCTTGGATGAACTACAGTGGATGGAAAATACTTGCATAGAATTGTATCAACAAATGCTGGAGTAAATAGAATTATTATCTAATTATCTGTTTTTGCAGATAAAAAGAAACTGAGTCTGAACTAAGAAGTGAAATCTGAGATGTCTATAAAATTTTATAATTTGATTTTATCTGTTGTATTTGAAAATGCAGGGGAAACAAATATCTAATTTTTTGAAACAACAAAAATTACCCAGAATTTTCTAATATGAACACCCTTAAAAAGGTGTGAAATGGACGTACAGAAGAAAGAGGCAAAAAGAAAACAAGTATAGAAAGAGGAAAAAAAGCGAGAGATATAATAAGCAATGTGATAAGAAAAAAAAACACGAGTGTGCAAAAAATTTACGTAAGAAAAGAGGACATGAAAAAACCAGAATTACGAATTTTTCTTAGCGCCTCTTCCTTGTCAGTGGTAATACAAACTACCAAGTCATGATTAGGATTCTCACTTGGGACAGTTTTTTTTTAATCAAATCTAAGCACAAGCCACCTTGATTTTAAATTTTTAATAAGCCGTCAACCCAGATGCATCGTGAGCCTAAATTGTGGTTTGTGTTATTCTTTCAAAATTTCAGCAACAAAATTAACAAGGCTGCACCAGAAATGGGTGAGGCCTGAATAATTGCACCATATTGGTATGGAATCTCGACCAATATTAAAGTTTTAGAAGGGATCAATTTTACGCAAGCTATTAATTAATACTACAATTCAGTGTAGCTTCTGGCTGTGGTTCCCCGTGGATAGCATAATTAATACTACAATTTTACTAGTCCTTTTCACCTTTGGTTGTGACCACACCCTGTGATCTTAGGAAAGAAAAACAACCCTTCTACAGAAATCATCTTTTAAAAATGACTTTGAGATTCTACTTTTATAATTATTTTACAAGAGCTACCTAAATTTAAAATCCTCCATCTTGAATGAAACTTTCAGTGGTTGCCATGAATTATTTTTCCAAGATGTTTTAGTACTGGATAACATCTAAATGAAACGAAAAAAGTATTATTTTAAAGATACTTGATGTCCTTTTTCACACTATCAAGATATAAACTTCTTCCTAAGATGTTAGACCTTTTTTATCCTATCATTAGTGTTTTCTACACTTGTTAAGAGGTGTCTTTCATTTTTATTTTTTTTCTTTATATTGTCCAAATAATAAATACACAGAGAAAGGCCATCCATATGTGAATTGGGCCAATCAAAGACAAGACTGGCCTCTTTCTTTCTCTATGTTTTGCCTCTTCCTATTATACCCCAAAAGCTGACAAAAGAGAACAAAAATTAGAAAAAAAATAAAATTCCCTCCTTTCTCTCTCTCTTGGTTAAGCTTGTGAAGTAAGCTTCGTGGGGGGAAAAATTGATTTGGCGCCCCTCCCACTCTTTTGAACACACAACCCCTCCTTCGTTCTTCCCTCTACCATCCATCACTTCTCAAAGATCGAATCTTTACGGGATGTCAACCAGCGTGGAGCATTCAAGAAACCAGAAAGCTGTCCAACAACATGACGATTCTGAAGAAATGCAAGATGGCCCTCTGCCTGTCGAGCAACTTCAGGTTCAAAGATCCCTTCTTTTTCATATTCTCACTCACCCCATTTAGTTTTTTTCCCTTTGTATACCTTTTTCGCATTTCAATTCTCACCCGTTTTTATTTTTTGGTAAAAAATCCCCCCTTTTTGTGTTTTCTGTTGATACCTAATGCTTAATCACAATCTCAGGCATCGGGTATAGCCTCCACAGATGTTAAAAAGCTTAAAGATGCTGGTATTTGCACGGTTGAATCCGTTGCTTACACTCCTAGGAAAGACCTTTTACAAATTAAAGGAATCAGTGAAGCTAAAGTTGATAAGATAATTGAAGCAGGTATTATTCACATTGGCTTTTGTTTCCCTTGGCTATTTCTTGTGATTGTTATGAAGTTCTTTTGATGTTTGCTTTCTTTTCTTGATTGACAGCCTCTAAGCTTGTGCCTATGGGTTTTACTAGTGCTAGTGAACTCCATGCCCAGCGTGATGCAATCATTCAGATAACTACAGGATCAAAAGAGCTTGACAAGATATTGGAAGGTCAGAATCAGAAACAAGAACACCTTGTTTAATGTTTGTGTGTGGAATTCACCGTTAAAGTGTCTTAAACTTGATAATGCTGTTTTTGCCAGGTGGAATTGAGTCAGGTTCTATCACTGAGTTATATGGTGAATTTCGATCTGGGAAGACTCAGTTGTGTCACACCCTCTGTGTCACTTGCCAAGTAAATGGTTTATTTACAGCAGTCAGAATACATTCATGCTGAATAATTTGTTGTAGTGTATTCAGTTTTAAACTCGTCATGTCATGTTTGGCATGGAATTTGAGTTTGTGAAGCTTTTGGTTCATACATACTGTGTTATACCTTTGCCTAATGTTTCAATTTATTGTTGATGTTCTAGTTGCCACTAGACCAAGGAGGTGCTGAGGGGAAAGCTATGTACATAGATGCAGAGGGCACATTTAGGCCTCAACGACTCTTACAGATAGCAGATAGGTATAATGATTCTTGATATTATGACTTTGCTTGCATGTGTCTTTGATATGTTGGTATGTCCATTCAATATTTATGTTTCTTTTTGCTACAGGTTTGGATTGGATGGGCCTGATGTATTGGAAAATGTTGCTTATGCTAGAGCGTACAACACTGATCATCAATCACGGCTTCTGCTGGAAGCAGCTTCAATGATGGTGGAAACAAGGTGTGACTTTTGATGGCTCTGTTTGCTCAGTTTTGTTTAGTATCTGCCAAAATCAACATAATACGCCTTTTAAATACGCATAATGATACACAAGTGCATTATGCTCATCTTGATTTATCATAGGCTAGCAGATGAAGTGGCTGTTTTATTCCTCTGTGTTTTTTTTTTTTCTTGGGCCCAGACCCAGAGTTGTTAGATTTCCTTAAATAGTGATATTTGATTCTGCAAGTGAGAAAGCTCTTTTTGTTTAGGTGGCAAAACATGCTCTTGAGGCTTACATTTTGATTGATATACACAGGTTTGCTGTAATGATAGTAGACAGTGCTACTGCCCTCTATAGAACAGATTTCTCTGGAAGGGGGGAACTTTCAGCCCGGCAAATGCATCTAGCAAAGTTTCTGAGGAGCCTTCAGAAATTAGCAGATGAGGTAAAACTCATTGTTGGGCTGGCAGTGCACCTAACCTTCTCTGTCAAACTAATCAAAATTCTGGCTTAGGATATTAAATTACAGAAAATAGTATATTTGACTTTCTTGGAGCTAATAATTTGTTCTGATTCTTTAATTGTAGTTTGGTGTGGCTGTTGTAATAACAAATCAAGTAGTTTCACAAGTAGACGGTTCTGCAGTCTTTGCTGGACCTCAAATCAAGCCTATTGGAGGCAACATTATGGCTCATGCTACAACAACAAGGTCAAATCTGAACTGCAGGATATGAAATGTTCCTTTTTTATTTCTTGTCAAAGCCTGTTTTGACCCTGGATGTTAACTAATTTCTTGATGACAGGCTAGCTCTCAGGAAAGGAAGAGGGGAAGAGCGAATATGTAAAGTGATAAGTTCTCCTTGTTTGGCTGAAGCTGAAGCAAGATTTCAGATTTGTGCTGAAGGAGTTGCAGATGTTAAAGACTGACCAATTTTAACATGTCTGATATTATAATGAAATTTATTTTTTTACCTTTGCTTGTATTCTTTTGTAAATGTCACTTCGTCTCTTTGCATTTTGTGACATTAATCGATATTAATCAATTTTATATGCTAATAATTGCATAGCTCAGTTACAATGAACTTCACTTTAAAGTTTTACACTGTTTGGATAGAACTGATATAAGAAGGAAAAAAATAGGAAATAATGGAATGAAGAGAAAGGAGGGAAAGTGAAAATAATTATGAAGGAAAAATGAACTGTTCGGATTGGATGAATCAAAACAGCAAGTAGTGTAAGGTGGGGAGGCTTCACCTGAATGGTTATTGGAGAAATCACACGATTTTCAGGTATCGTTCACACAATCTCAAAATGAACTGTTCGGATTGGATGAATCACACGATTAAGCTCAAAATCAGAAACAATCTCAAAATTGTTTTTGAATTACAATTAAAATGTTAAATAAGTTGAATTTATTTAAAATTTTAATGTAAAATTAAACTCGCTTGTTTATATGTAATTTAATTAAAGAGTCTGAAAAAAATATATACTCTTTAAAAGTTATTATTTTTTTAAAATAGTATTTTTTATGAACAATATTAACATTGATTTTCAAAGCAAATTACTAAAAGTGGTGGGATTTTATTAAACAATATAAATATTATTACATTAAAAATATTACGCAAGGTATTAATTAATACTACTATTCAGTGTAGCTTCTGGCTGTGGTGCCCCATGAATAGCATAAAAGCCTATGGCCGAACGAGTTCTAGCCCTCTTCACTTTTGGTTGTGACCACACCCTGTGATCTTAGGAAAGAAAAACAACCCTTCTACAAAAATCATCTTTAAAAAATGACTTTGAGATTCTTCTTTTATAATTATTTTACAAGAGCTACGTAAATTAAAAATCCTCCATGTTGAATGAAACTTTCAGTGGTTGCCATGAATAATTGGTATATGTTCTTTTGACACATAAGGCAAGTACTTGGGTCGAATGCTAATATTATTTTATACCATAGAGACAAAAATGCAAAGAGCTGTCACGAATTCATGATCTATACCATACATCACACACCCGTTTTGACAAACACAGAAAGAAAGCTAACCAAGGAATTCAAAGGCCACTGCCCAAAAAAAATGTTATTCTATTTACAATCAAACCTGGCATCTACATTGTTTATTTACTGTAATTTGCTGTAATTTGGCTTGGAATTTCATAACCATCACTCCAAAATAACAATGATATTAGAATCATGAAAAAAAGTTTTACTCCAGGTATCACCCTTTACCCATCCTGGTTATGAGCTGCTTCATGTGCTACCTCGTCAGACTTTTGTCTCAATTTACTGAGGCAAGGAAAGAACAAGAAAGATTATTTACTAAGAATATATAAATCATGTTGATGCTATTTCCAAGGTCCGACATTTTGATGAACCTTCATTAAATCTAATACCATTTCAAAACTCTCAAAATTATAGGGATTGGATGAAAAAGTAGGAGTCTAAAATCGTTTCTATTTTGTGATATGAAACACTGACCTATTAGTGGCCTCTTTATACGGATAAATGAAAATCTAGGTCAACCACAAGTGTACTAAAGCTAATACAAGCGAAACCAAATGGTGCACTTAACATAATAATGTTGAATAAACTTAAATGTCAGTTTTAATTGGTTTTAATTCAGCAGATTTTGTTAGAATAAAAGGTCAAGAGTTAGCAGTTATGTTTTGATAAATAGTTATAATGGGTTTTGATTGTAGTTTATGGCTATTAATAGAATTTAAGTTTTTTATTTTATAAATAGATCATTGTATTATTTGACAAAAAGAGTGAGAAATATACAAACAATCTTTTCTCCTCTATCGGTTTTCAATTCTACAATTTGGTATCAGAGCCTATGGCGAGTGTGACCAATAATGTGCCACTGCCTCGACTAACGAAGGTGAACTATAAGAATTGGAGCATTCAAATGAAAGCTCTTCTTGGGTCTCAAGATGGTTGGGAGGTGGTAGAAGAAGGTTTCAAAGCACCAGAAACTACCACGGGATATTCGGCAGCTCAACACAAGGCGTTGAAAGAGACGCGATCGAAAGATAAGGCAGCTTTGTACTTATTGTTTCGAGCTGTTGACGAGTCGGGCTTTGAGAAGATTGCGAATGCAACAACTTCAAAAGAAGCGTGGGACATTTTGGCGAATGTGTACAAAGGAGCTGACCGGGTTAAACAAGTACGCCTTCAAACTCTTCGTGGTGAGTTGGAAAGCATGAAGATGAAAGAGTCGGAAGGAGTCTCTGACTACATCACGCGTGTTCAAACCGTGGTGAACCAACTCAACCGAAATGGAGAAGTTTTAACTGATGCACGAGTTGTGGAGAAGATTTTGAGGTCGTTAACTGACAGTTTTGAGAATGTTGTATGTGCTATAGAAGAGTCAAAAGACCTAACAATGCTAACGATCGACGAGCTCGCTGGTTCACTCGAGGCACACGAACAACGTAAGAAGAAGGAGGAGGAGGAGATACTTGAACAAGCACTTCAAACCAAGGCGTCAATCAAAGACAAGAAGGCACTCTATTCTCAAAACATTCGAGGTAGAGGACGTGGCCGTGGAAGTCGAGGAAATGGTCGCGGTGGTAAAGGTCGCGGTCAAGAAGAATATTATGAGGAGAAAGAACATTCAAACCAGCAAAATTGGCGTGGAAGAGGACGTGGTCGTTGGAGAGGCGGTCGATCCAATTATTCCAACATCGAGTGCTACAAGTGTGGCAAATATGGTCACTATGAGAAGGATTGCAACTCTGATAAGTGTTATAATTGTGGAAAGGTGGGGCATTTTGCGAAAGAATGTCGGGTCGAGAAAAAGGTGGAAGAGACAACCAATTTAGTCACAGAAGATGTGGAAGCAAAAGGTTTTCTCTTGATGGCACACAACGAAGTTAACACCAATAACAACACGGTGTGGTACCTTGACACGGGCGCAAGCAATCATATGTGCGGGCACAAGCACCTATTCAAAGAGATACAAAAGGTTGAAACTGGACATGTGTCATTTGGAGATGCGTCGAAGGTTGAAGTCAAAGGCCAAGGTACGGTTTGTTATTTACAAAAGGATGGCTTGGTTGGGTTAATCCAAGATGTATATTACGTACCAGATCTCAAGAGCAACATTTTGAGTATGGGGCAACTCATGGAGAAAGGTTATTCCGTATTTATGAAAGACCGGATATTACACTTGAAAGATAAACACGGGCATTTGGTTGCTCGAGTTGAAATGGGGAGAAATCGCATGTTTAAGCTGAATTTGACAAGCGTTCGAGAAAAATGTCTGCGAGTCAACGTAGAAGACAAGGCTTTACTGTGGCATCTCCATTTTGGTCACCTACATCATGGTGGTCTAAACAAGTTGGCAAAGAAGAGCATGGTGCACGGGCTACCGGACATGGACTATGAGAACAAATTTTATGAAGAATGTGTGCTCAGCAAGCATGCGAGAACTTTATTTCAAAAGAAGGCAGAATATCGTGCTAAGGAACCTCTCGAATTGATTCATACCGACATATGTGGACCAATCACTCCTGAATCTTTTAGCGGTAAGAGATATTTTATTTCTTTTATTGATGATTTCTCACGAAAAACTTGGGTTTATTTTCTGAAAGAAAAATCCGAGGCATTCGAGGTGTTCAAAAAGTTTAAAGTGGTGGTGGAAAAAGCAATCGGTAGACACATCAAATCGGTACGATCTGATAGAGGTGGCGAGTATACTTCAACAGCTTTCATGGAGTATTGTGAGGTGCAAGGCATAAGGCGATTTCTAACCGCACCATACTCTCCCCAACAAAACGGTGTGGCCGAGAGGAAGAACCGGACTGTTCTTGATATGGTTCGATCAATGCTTAAGAGCAAGAAGATGCCGAAGGAATTTTGGGCAGAAGCCGTGCAATGCGCTATCTATGTGCAAAATCGGTGTCCACATGCGAAGCTTGATGATCAAACACTACAAGAGGCATGGAGTGGACAAAAACCAACGGTTTCTCATCTCAAAGTATTTGGTAGTGTGGCCTATGCACACGTGCCGAATCAGCGAAGAACGAAGCTCGAAGACAAAAGCAAAAGGTATGTTTTTATTAGGTATGACAACAAAACAAAAGGATACAAGTTACTAGACCCAATAAGCAAGCAGGTTGTGGTGAGTCGTGATGTACAAGTTAATGAAGCAAATGAGTGGGATTGGAGTAACTCAATGGAGGTTATCAATGAAGATGGAGAATCATCAACCGCTATACCAACAATCACACCGACAAATCCTGAAACTACCAGTGATGAAGATGAACCGCAACAACCCAGAATGTGAAGTTTGCAAGATTTGTATGATTCGACAAATGAGGTACACATTGTATGTCTTTCGGCAGATTCCGAGAATATAAGCTTTGAAGAGGCGGTGTGAGACAAGAAATGGCAAACTGCCATGGACGAAGAGATTAGAGCAATTGGCCGCAACAACACATGGGAGTTAACGGAGTTACCGAAAGGATGTCAGCCCATTGGTGTGAAGTGGGTGTTCAAGAGAAAAATGAATGCTCAAGGCGAGATAGAACGATACAAGGCGCGACTTGTTGCAAAGGGATACAAGCAAAAGGAGGGAATTGACTATGATGAGGTATTTGCTCCTGTTACAAGAATGGAGACAATCCGATTACTCATTTCACAAGCGGCTCAATTCAATTGGCCGATATTCCAAATGGATGTCAAGTCGGCATTCTTGAATGGAGTGCTTGAAGAAGAAATCTACATAGAACAACCACTCGGGTACATGAAAAGAGGAGAAGAGAAGAAGGTGCTGAAATTAAAGAAGGCACTTTACGGGTTGAAGCAAGCACCACGGGCATGGAATTCTCGCATTGATACATACTTCAAAGAGAACGAGTTTGAACAATGTCCCTATGAACATGCCCTTTACGTGAAGAAGATTGGAGGTAATATGTTATTT